CCGGGCAAGTAACTCTGCAAAAACAGTATGCAAAAACAGAACCCAACATACTCCATCATTATATGACTACAATTCCCAGTATCCTTCAATTCATTACAAGTTGGAGGTTTTTTGTTTTCTCTTTTGAAACAAACAATTTCCTTGAGATAAGGAGTGCACCTAGACCAGGCCATAATCCCCTTTTCAAACAGCTTTGCTGTGCTCCAAACACTCGGGCTCTCTGACCCACACATTATTTGGAGAACAGTTGGTAGGCCAGCTGCACTGGATTAAGATGTGGAAGGCACTCACTTCTATGTGGGAGATGTGGAGGACACTCACCAAGTGTCATGACTTTTTAATGCAGGGGTGACACTGGTGCTGTGATAAAGGCAGGTGCAAGGTGATATCAGCTCAGGGCACACTGCTCTTTCATCCATTTCCCCATGTACCGCCTCAATTCCATATAAAACCTAAGCACCATACTGAGCTTACATGTAGGCCAATGTCATCCACAGATAGAAAACCAGGAGGATTTGTTCCCATGAATTTGACCTGGTTTTCCCCCATGAAGTGTCCCTAGCTCCCTCCCAGAATCAGATTTTTTTTAAATCAAAGGTTAACTTAGCAACCCAAACAGCAGCTAGGCCACCCTGTACAAAAAACATAAAGAGGTGCTGATAAAACATAGTTCTGGCTCATGGCCAATACAAACATAAGACTTCTAAGACTGAGAATATGGGCTAAGGACTATGTCCCTCTGTGGCCTCTGAGTGGTAGGTATGCTTTACATGTTAACAAGCCACCTTGCATGACCTTTGTCATACTTGCCAATGCCAGCATTTTGCTGTCTTATAACAAACTCACATGTTATCATTCCAATGTCCAGCTCTTTTACCCACCAGAGCAATTGTAATGATTCAATAAACCTAGCATAACTTCGTAACTCCATCAAAGGGAACAGGGCATTTTTTTCATATTGACAGATTTCTAGAAAAACCTACTGACGTAAACAGACAAGCAAGGACCAAGGACAATTCCTGTACCTTTGACCTATATCCTTGAGCAAATGTTACAGTCTGGTTAATACCAATCTGCTTTCCAAACAGGTTATTAGAAGGTATGTCGCTATGGTAACATCCTAATTGCCTATTGTACGATAGGAAGGTAAGACACACACAGAAAAAAAAAAACCCTTTGTTTAACATGTTGGAAATTGTTAATGTGGTATTAAAGGTAAAGGTTCCCCTTGACAATTTTTGTCCAGTCGTGTTCGACTCTAGGGGGCGGTGCTCGTCCCCGTTTCCAAGCCACAGAGCCAGCGGTTTTGTCCGAAGACAATCTTCCGTGGGCACATGGCCAGTGCGACTTAGACACAGAACGCCGTTACCTTCCCACCGAGGTGGTCCCTATTTATCTACTTGCATTTGCATGCTTTCGAACCGCTAGGTTGGCGGGAGCTGGGACAAGCGACGGGCGCTCACTCCGTCGCGTGGATTCGATCTTACGACTGCTTGGTCTTCTGACCCTGCAGCACAGGCTTCTGCGGTTTAGCCCACAGCGCCACCACATCCCTTTTTTAATGTGGTATTATTGCTAGTTAAAAAGGAGAAAACATTTGTGCTGAAGAGACCAAATGCATTTAACATCGCTCTGCAACACATGAGATCTAAAGTCATCCAGGGTAAAATACCTGTTCAGATAAACTGAATTGCTTCTGATAGTAGTTAAATTAGTTTGTTGGCAATTAAATTTGTTTCTGGAATTCCATCAGTGAGGTAATTGCTTACATGGGATGACTAAAGTCATACTTCCTTATGGATTAATAATTCTTACGAAAATCTTACGGGCTGCACTGAGGAAGCAGGAAGTTGAGTTCTCAAGGTCAGGTCGCAGGAGGCACCAAAATTAGATAAAATATTATTTGTATCAAAAAGCCTAGATGCTTGACAAGGGCTTTGCTACTGTATGATGGTAATATACTCCTGAAGGAGGTATGCAGGTTGAAAATATTTGTCTGAGTACAATAGTGCTTAATGATTATACCACTTCTAAGTCTGACAAATACATGGAAAATAATACCATGAAAATTGGGATTTTTGCTGAAAGACGTTTACTATATAACCACTCTGTGTCATATTACAATTGCAGAAATTTATGAAAAATCCAGATAATGTGGCCATTTATGAAAAATCCAAATAATATGGCTTCCTTTTTAAAAAATTGTTTCTTCAATGCTTTTTCTTATAAGGGAAAATACATTAAGGAACAATATCAGCAGCACAATGATTTTCAGTTGTGAACAATATGAATGCTCTGCCCAGAAGCTATTACATTGTATTGAAAGCAATGGGAACATGATGTAGAATAACCAGACCTATTTAGAAGGGTCTGCCTTCTCTTTTTAAAATAATGAATCGATACTTCCATAAAACACTCCAAAGGCAATTGAAATCTCAGTAGAACAGCAGAAATGAGCAAGAAAACAAGAGCAAGATGTAGTGTGACTTTCCTGTATGATGGCAAAAAGGGGGAAGAACTGGTACCTAAAATGGAGTGTGGGTACATGTACATGATGGCTGAGAGAGACTGCCTCAAGAAGAAGTGTTTTTTTGTTGCAGCATGCACTCCTTCTCCTTGCTTTGCATATAGGGTTAAATTGTTATTCCCAATTAAGATAGATCTATTGAGTCAATGGCAAAGTCATTTGCCTGATTGACTTTTTGTCTTCTTGGCAACAGGGGTTATTACTTGAATATTAAAATACAGGATCAACACCCCAGTGTAGGTTGCCAATTATAAAAATACATTTTGTATCAAGGGGGAGCTTTCAAGGTTGGAATTTGTCAAATTCTTTTCTGTACTCAATAAAACAAACATACATTCTCCAAAGTCATGCTATAGGCTGGAATCCTGTTACTTAGTGTAGTAAGCTGCAATTAAAGTAGGACCCCTGAATCACTGGGGCTTTGGTGACTCAACTCCTCCATAAGTTCCAGTGATTCAAATGGGCCAACTCTAATTATAACTTAGTATGCTACGCAACAAGATTTCAGCCATAATCTTTCCACAAGTGCATGAAAGTAGGATAGCGCTTCCCTTGTTTCAAATCCTGCTTTAAACACAAATAACAGTATAGTGCATTGTTTGCGGTCATAAGGACTCCTTCACCTGAAAATATTCTCAAATACTGTACTCTTTTATTTAGGTGCTATTTCCCTAAAATAATTTAGCATAGTTCTTTTTAAAAGGCAAGATAAAATGGGCTTCAGCAGAAATAATTGGTGGAGGAAAATGGTGCAGAAATGGTGCCCAGACGAAATCCATATTTTAAAAACAAATATTTAAATTTTTACTGAAATGAACTCCATAGTACAAATATTATAAGATTTCTTGGGAGAAGTATGAGTGACAAAAAGTAATTTGTAGTATACATTAAAAGAGCAATTAAAGACAGCAACATACTGATTAAATGGCATCAACAGGAAAGACAAAATAAAGGTATGAAAACTGTAGACATGGTGTGCAAACTGTAGACAGGTTCACCTGCCTGATAAATTACCACACATGTCAAAGTCATGGATCTTTTAAAAGGTAGGAAAGAAATGCTGTTAACTGTAGAGGGCCATTGTTCAATTTTTTCCAAAATGTGTGCTTTCCTGCAGTCTAAAAAGCAAAAAGAGACATGGGGGAAATGTAGTCAACCATTTGATGACAATGTGGAAGGCATGTAGATCGATACATCAGAGGATTCCCTCAGTGGGGGAATTAAAACAGGCAAAGTTTAGGGGTTGTCAATGTATTGTCGTTTTGTGCTGTCAAGCAGCCTCCAACTTATGGTGATCCTATGAACGAGCGATCTCCCAAATGTCGTGTCCTCAACAGCCCTGCTCAGCTCTTGCAAACTATGGGTTCCTTGACAGAGTCAATCCATCTCTTTTCCTGCTTCCTTCAGCTTTTCCCAGCATTATTGTCTTTCCCAGAAAATCCTGCCTTCTTATGATGTGCCCGAAGTAGGAAAGCCTCAGTTTTGCCCTTTTTGCCTCCAGAGATAGTTCAGGCTTAATTTGCTCTAAAACCCACTCGTTCGTCTTTCTGGCAGTTCAGGGTATCCCCAAAGCTTTTCTCCGTCACCGTATTTCAAACGAATCAGCGTTTTCCTGCCAGCTTCCTTCACTGCCTATGTCATATAAAGGTACACAACCCGAAATGGGTTATTGATCCCTTGCTTCAGACTCCGGACATTGGCCCATTCCAGCGTCACACTCAACAACTCGACCAGCCCGGCTCGCCTGTCACCCTTGCTCTTTGGACCACGAAGGCAGCTACAGAGCGGCGCAGCGGTCGCCCCCGGGAGGAGCTCCGAGCTGAGCTTCGCCTTTAGCTCACCAGGTGGCCCTTCTCGCCTTCATTCATTTCCCCTTCCGGCGTGGAATTAATTATGGCACCCCCCCCCCTTTCTTCTTCTTTACAGCGTCAATGTTGTAAACCTTCACGGAAATAATGGCACGCGAAGCACTCTTATACATTCAAGATGAGCATGGCAGACAGAGGGAGGGAAGGAGGGAGGGAGAAAGTGTGACCGTGCGTCGCTTCCTTTCCCTTGTGCAGTACAAAGTCCAAAGCCGCACACGGTTCTAATTCCCCTTTTCGGTAGAACTGAGGTTACAGACCACTGACTTTACCATGGGCGCGGTAGCCCTCCTGGCCCATGGGGCGAGTTCTCCGTTAGCCACCCCTCTGCGACCTCCACCCTCCTCCTCTTCCTCCTCCTCTGGGGCTGAGGAAAGAGGAGACGTCCCCTTGCCGCTGCCTCTCTCTTCAAGAGTC